GATTCAGATGATGGTACTGTCTCAAGAGGTTGGGGCAATAGGCCCCTATACGCTGCCCACTCTGGGATGTCCTCTCCAGGCTTGGCTCCTGAAAGAGACATTCTGAAGACTGCTAGTCTGCCTGGACAGGTTGTGCAGCTAGAGCGGGGTCAACAAGGCAAAGTGGTAAGAATTACACCGCTGGTGCAAGGAAAAGAGGCTAGATCCCCTGTCATGTGCAGTTGGGGTCTATTCTCTCCTTTTTGCAGTGTTTGGTGGATAGGGGCTCTCTCATGTCACTTAAGCTTTCGCAAAGCGGTTCTTGCAGGGTGTCAGAAAGCTGAGCTCAGCTCAGAGAGTATGTGAACTAACCAACCTGCCAATGCACACCCGTTGCTTGTTGCTCCGTGGTGACTGTAGCAACCCTTTGACCAAATCCCTCCCTCTCTTGTTCCCAAGACCTTAAGGAGTTATTTAAGGTCATTAAAACACTGAGCAGCTGTTCATGTGCTTCAGGGATGGTGAAGCCCTGTCCAAGAAACGCCTGGCAGGATGGCTTTGTGAGTGCATTTCCAAAGGCAGAGAATTTAGGTCCCCTCTCTTGCACTTGTTCCCTGCCAGATTGTCTTGTGTGTTATTGCCAAGTTCTCCAGCGTACCTTTATATTGTTCATGATCTGCCTGTTCCGACCCTGTCTGCCTGTTTTTCGACCTTGGATTTTTGCCTGCCCCTTATTGGATTTGTTCGCCTGTTTGACTGACCTCCCGGTTTTGACCCTGCCTGAACTCTAGTAAAAGAACTGAACTTGTATCTTTCGCCGATCCAACGATCCTCGGGGGTTTCCGTCGGAACGGGTCTCTGACGGTCCGGCCGACTCTCCTGAGCCTATGCAGCTGGGGCGGACCCGGCTCTCCACAGCAGAACGACAGCGCCGCCTGCAGGAGGATCGATGCTTTTACTGCGGCCAGAGTGGCCATTTTGCAACCTCTTGTCCAGTAAAAGAGATGGCTCACCAGTCATCCGGAGAGCGCTGGTGAGTCGAAATGTGAACTTAAAAATGCCCTCTCGCCCTTTGATTCATGCTCAACTGTTTTGGTCAGGGAACAATCGCACTGTCTCAGTCCTCATTGACTCTGGTGCAGATGCTAACCTTATGGACAGAACGCTGGCCTCCCAGCTGGGGATTGAGCAGGTGGCCCTGGGAAAACCCATCCACGCCACAGCTTTAAATGGTCATCTCCTCTGCAGGGTTACCCATCAATCCACTCCTCTGCCAATGACAATGTCAGGTAATCACAATGAAATGCTCACCTTCCATCTCATCCATGCACCACAGCAACCAGTCATTTTGGGCTATCCGTGGCTTAGGAGACACAATCCACACATTGACTGGGCGTCAGGAACTGTATTACAGTGGAGTGTTCATTGTCATGCTGTCTGTTTAAAATCTGCCTCATCGTCTGTTCCTAGTCTGCCCGTCTCTTCTGAGTTCCCAGATCTCTCCGGGTTCCAAAGGAGTATCTTGACCTTAAGGAGGTTTTTCTCAAAGCCCAGGCCACCTCGTTGCCGCCTCATCGCCCGTATGACTGTGCCATTGACCTCCTCCCGGGTACATCTCCTCCCAGAGGTAGACTTTTTTCCCTATCTGCTCCTGAGACGAAGACTATGGAGAGCTCTATTAATGACTCATTGGCTACAGGAATCATTCGGCCATCTTCATCTCCAGCGGGAGCGGGTTTTTTCTTTGTCGGAAAGAAGGACAAATCCCTGCGCCCTTGCATTGACTACAGAGGACTCAATAACATTACTGTAAAAAATAGGTACCCTCTCCACTTATTGCCTCTGCTTTTGAGCTGCTACAAGGTGCTACCATTTTTTCCAAACTCGATCTCCGCAATGCTGACCATTTGGTGAGAATCCGAGAGGGGGACGAGTGGAAGACTGCCTTTAATACTCCTAGTGGACATTATGAGTATTTAGTTATGCCATTTGGTCTCACCAATGCCCCTGCAGTCTTCCAGGGGTTGGTCAATGATGTTCTCCGGGATATGCTCAATGTTTCTGTTTTTGTGTATTTGGATGACATTCTTATCTTCTCGAAGTATCAACAGGAACATGTGGTCCATGTACGCCAAGTCCTCCAAAGGCTTTTGGAGAATCAGCTCTTCGTAAAGGCGGAGAAGTGCGAGTTCCACACCACAGAGGTATCGTTCTGGGGTTTTGTCCTCAATGCTGGTAATATCCAGATGGACTCTGCCAAGACCAAAGCAGTTGCTGACTGGCCCTTCCCGTCCACATGCAAGGAACTTCAACGCTTTTTGGGCTTTGCAAACTTCTATCGGCGGTTCATCCGTAACTACAGTTCGGTGGCTGCTCCCTTGACCGATCTCACCTCCCCGCATGTGCCCTTCCGGTGGTCCTCTGCGGCAGCAGGGGCCTTTGGCGAGTTAAAATCCCGTTTTACCTCTGCTCCCATCCTCATATTCCCAGATCCTGCCCGGCAGTTTATTGTGGAGGTGGACGCCTCGGACACTGGTGTAGGAGCAGTCCTACATCGGCTGAGGACCAAAAGGTTCACCCATGTGCCTTCTTCTCCCGGAAGCTGTCCCCCGCGGAGAGGAATTATGACATTGGGAACCGGGAGCTGTTGACGGTCAAACTGGCATTGGAGGAGTGGAGACACTGGTTAGAGGGGGCGGAGCAGCCGTTTGTGGTCTGGACAGACCACAAAAATCTAGAATACATCCGTTCGGCCAAGCGACTGAACTCTCGTCAAGCTCGGTGGGCTCTTTTTTTTAACCGTTTTGAGTTTTCACTCTCATACAGACCATGTTCAAAGAATGTCAAGCCCGTCGCCTTGTCCCGTCAGTTCCAGTGAGAGAGCTCTCCTTCCCATCCTGAAAGTATCCTCCACCCTGAGTGCGTTATTGGTGTGGTAACCTGGGAGGTGGAGGACAAGGTAAAGCGCTCCCATGCCGAACACCCTGCCCCCAGTGCTTGTCGTGATAACTGGTTGTTTGTTCCTGTCAATCTCCGTCCTCAGGTCCTCCAGTGGGGCCACTCTTCCCGCCTAGCTTGCCATCCTGGGATCAGACGCACACTAGCACTGCTCAGACAGCGTTTCTGGTAGTCTTCCATGGAGGACGACACCAAGGGGTTCATTGGTGCTTGCCAGGTTTGTTCTCAGCATAAGAGCACTCGCCAACCTCCCTCTGGGCTTCTTCATCCTCTGCCAGTTCCTAGTCGTCCCTGGTCTCACATCGCTTTGGACTTTGTAACCGGCCTACCCCCTTCTGATGGTAACACAGTTATTCTCACAATCATTGATCGATTTTCCAAGTCTGCTCTGCTCATTCCACTACCCAAGTTACCTACTGCCAAAGAGACTGCTAAAATATTACTGCAAAATGTTTTCCGGCTTCATGGTTTGCCCATTGACGTGGTCTCCGACCGGGGACCAAAATTCACCTCTCGCTTCTGGTCAGAGTTTTGCAGGCTGCTGGGAGCCACGGTCAGTCTTTCGTCAGGGTTCCATCCACAGTCTAATGGGCAGGCTGAGCGGATGAATCAGGAGATGGAGACAGCCTTACGCTGTCTCTCCTCCCGCAACCCCTCCTCCTGGTTTGAGCAGCTCTTGTGGGTCGAGTATGCCCACAACACCCTTCCCAGTTCAGCCACCGGGTTGTCACCGTTCCAGTGTGCCCGTGGATATCAGCCACCACTCTTCCCGGAGCAGGAACAAGAGGCCAGTGTCCCCTCAGTCCAGGCATTCATCCAGCGGTGCCGACGCACTTGGAAGCAGGCCCGCTCCACACTCTTGCGCTCGTCCGACCGCTACCAAAGGTCTGCCAACAGACGCCGTGTTCCTGCACCCCGTTATGCCCCGGGACAACGTGTCTGGCTGTCTACGCAGGACCTTCCCCTCAGAGTGGAATCCAAGAAATTGGCTCCTCGCGTCGTGGGCCCTTTCCCCGTTTCTCAGATCATCAATCCTGCTGCTGTCCGTCTTTGTCTGCCATCATCCATGAGAATTCATCCCACCTTTCATGTCTCCAGGATTAAACCCGTCAAGGAGAGCCCCCTTCAGCCCCCCCCGCCCCCCCAGCTCATCGATGGGGCACCTGCCTACACGGTCCGTTGCCTTCTCAAGTCTCGGCGATGGGGTAGAGGCTTGCAATACCTAGTGGACTGGGAGGGTTATGGTCCTGAAGAGTGTGAATGGGTTCCCCGCTCGCAGAATATTTGATCCCTCCCTGATCACGGACATCCATCAGGCCCATCCGGACCAACCCAGTGGGACGTCAAGAGCCGTCCCTAGAGGGGGAGGTTGTGTCACGAATTCCCCTTCATATTAGTTTGTTTTCATCCTGTCTGCTTGTTTTATTAACTTTCGTGTCATTTCAGATCCTACCATTCACACCCGATCATCTCTCATTCCCCTCACCTGGTCCAGAGTGTTCTTGACTTCGGTAGATGTTATGAAGGGGTTTTTCGTCACCAAGGTACACCAATTTTTTTAACCTAATAATGGCCTCCTTCACTTGCATTGACACCTTTTTGTGTCCGCATGCTGAGAGTTCCAAGGACCAGCTACCAACTGCAAATATAACATTTTGAATCCTATTGTCGGCATCATTTGTCATGAAATAGTGACAGAATAGGCCACACCTGGCCATGAAACCGTTTGTCAGACAATTCTCCAATTACTTTTGAGCCTCTGAAAATGTGGATGGCTGTGTAAAAACAGTCATTGTGATTTTTTTGTTTTATCCATTGAATTAAAGCTTAAAGTCTACACTTCAACCACATATTGACTGATTAGTTTCAAATCCATTGGAGTTGTGTAAATAAGCAAAATTAAAAAGATTGTGTCATAGTCCAAATACGTATGGCCCTGACTGTACATGTCGATAAAGAGAACAGTCTGACTGTTTTGAAAAAGTTACCTCAATATAGAGAAATGTGTGTAAACAATTGTAACAAACTGTAATAAAGTACAGTAGACAGAAAACCAGGTTTACCGTGGATGAGTTTCATCGATGTTCATCTCATAAAGATTCTTCTTGGCATCCGTATCATACAGCCGCACCGTGCCAACACCGCTGCCTAGTAACAACTGACCACACAGAGTTTTTGTCACTCAGAGGGACCTTTCATTAACTTACATACATTCCCCTGGGACGCTAACCTTCACTATAAAGTACTACATGCCTTACTCTATAGCTAACCTAAACCAAGAACCCTATTTGCAGAATGTGATTGCCAGTACACTTCTTAGTGTATCTCACATACAGGGTAGTTTTACTAATGCTTCAGTTTCAGCTTCAGTTTTATGCATAACATCTCATTTGTGTTACATGGTATTTCTACTCATATTTTTTACAGACCATACTTTATTTATTTTTAGCTTTCTGGCCTTGCATGTGTAGGTGCCATGCTGTAATGACTGTATTTTTTTGTCTAGGATTGTTTTTAGTTTTGTGCATTTTATATATTTGGATGCGCATTTTGTGTGTGTAAGTTTAAACACAAAAAAATCACAAGGCAATTCATTTCATGAATTGTAGGAATGTGTCAAGCGTTTAGTAATTTCCTGAGCACATCAGTTAATTGATGACTGAATGTAATCATTTATCAAGTTAAAAGTACAAATAGAAATCTGATTAACGTTGTCAATGTCACTATACTCAGTTAATGTGCAGTCTTGATCATACCAGTCTGTCTGGTTTGGTGGCCCACTCCAAAGACAGCAGAGGAGACTTGGACATGATGGTGGCTTTGGTCTGCATGACGGGGTTGAATGACCACACCTAAGAAAGAGTGAGAATGAAGGCTATTATGTGTTTCAATTGGTGATATACAATAATACGCATGTATTTTCTATGTTCATATAACCCCAAAAGATAATTGGTGCAGATTCACCTTAATGACTCCGTCTACGTCCAAACTAGCAACCCGGCGACCAGAACAGTCAACCCTGGAAAACAGAAGGACAAATGGACGAAAAAGAGAAGAATGAATGTTTTAGGTTTTGTTTTTATCTTATTTTATCTTTATGTGACTTTAAAAGCCAGTCAAGTCCACCTGCTGTTAAAATCGTAAATTTCCCAGATGGTTTTCCATCTATTACCTGTTCAGGAACCGAGCAGGCTAATATATTTGTGAGATACTGTGATGAAGAAGGGGTGGGGTCAGTCAGTATTACCTTCCCCTGTATGACCAGTTAAACAAAACTAGTAGTGTGTGGAAGGCAGACCTGCAGTGCATGATGGAGGAGTGGTGTTCTCCGTACTCCTCCTGGCTGAGTTTGATGAAAGACTGGTCCGTTGAAAGACCTCCTCCCTCTGCTCCTCTGCAGCTCCTGCTGTATGAGCAGGGGTCAGGAGGTTCGCTGGAGGTCTCAGCAAGTAACTCTACCTCTCCTGTCTCCCCTTTCTTCTCTAGTATCTAAAGATAACAGAAGGATGTTGTCAGTGTAAATTGAACAACTGTCAAGTTCCAGCCATCATTTACAGCACCCTAACTTCAAAAATAATGCAGGTCATTTGAATGGAATAGCTGTTCACAAGTAAAATATTTTAATTCCCTGTGAGACCAAGACATTGATTTGTACATCCTCATGAAATTGATGGTGCTGGAAGCTTGTTGGGTAGTGACTGCTCATGGGTTAGGTGCAGAGCTACACTGGTTGGCATGCTAGCCAGCTGGTAACATGCTGGCACTTATCAGCCAACAACGCTCGATAAACTAGCTGGCTTGCTACCTCTAGCTTATAACCACTTGGTTAGCTCGTTCACAATCACATAAAAAGAGTATTCATGGGAATGTATTTGTAGCAGTCCCTACATGTAAGTGACCCAGCTGTTGTTCACCCATAGCAGTTCCAGCATATGTACTGTAAAACCACAACTTTTACATTTCTGTCCGTGTACAAGTTAAACAAACAAGATCAAACATTTTAACTGGTGAGTTGTATTCGTTGCTGCATCAGCATTGCTGCGGGCGTTGTACCGGACTGTTGTGGTGAAGCTGATCTGGAAGGCAAAGCTCTCGACTTACCAGTCCATCTATGTTTCGACCCTTACCTATGGTCATGAGCGTTGGATAGTGACAGAAAAAAAGAGATCGCGAACACAAACGACCAAAATGAGCTTCCTTTGTAGGGTGGGTGGGCTCAGGAGTAGATCCACTGTTCCTTTGCGTCGAAAGGGGCCAACTGAGGTGGTTTAGGCATCTGATCAGGATGCCTCATGAATGCCTCCCTTTAGAGGTTTTCCGGGCAAGTTCAACTGGTAAGAGGCCCCAGGGTAAACCCAGAATATGCTGGAGAGATTACATATCTCGTCTGGCCTGGGAACGCCTTGCAGTTCCCCAGGAAGATCTGGAAAATGTTGCTGGGGAGAGAGACTTCTGGATTTCTCTCCTTAGCTTGCTGACCCTGCGTCCTGGCGCGGGATGAACATCACTACTTGTGTACATAAAAGTCCTGTCGATCCTTAACCTGTATTTGTTTAGCTTTGTTGTCCCTGTTCCAAGCTGTTATCTATTTCTGTGTAAGTATATTGAGAGATGCAAAAAAGCAGATTCAAATTCCTTGTATACTTGGCATAAAAAAATCTGGCTACAGTTACTTACTGTACAAGGAAACCAGACATTATAAAATGCACAAAACTGCTGTGACTACAGTTCTAATGTCAAATGTTCCCAGTCCTACTCTTCAGGTACCTGTGGTGGTGGTTTGGAGAAAAGCTCCTTCCTCTCTTTCTCATGTTCCTGGATTTTCTTGTGTCTGGGATGAGATGGCTGGTTTGTAGGCTGGTTTGTTGACTGTTGTGACTGGGAGCTCTTGGGTTCACTGGTTGATGCCTGGCTGGAAACTGGTTTCACCTCATTAGCTTGGACTGCCTCTTTTGACTTTGCAGGCTAGAAAAGACAAATTAGTTTTAGAAACAGAAGATGATCTCAGGTCATAATTCTATTAGCCACTTATATTTGAGGACCCCCTATATGGCTGCCAGATATGGGGTCAGATCAGTCTCAGCATTAATGAAAGCACACACAAGGATTCACAAGTATATTTTCTCCATCTTTCCAACATTCGCAAATATATTTTTGATGCACACACAAATATTTGTTGTTATGAATAAATAATTGCTTTTGTGGTCCAAACATCAGAGCTAATTGTTGAAACAGTCAAACGTGGGAAGATAAATCTGCAAAGATCTCCAAAGTAATCCAAACAAAGGGATACAGCAACTGTATTGAAGGTATTATAACAGACTGTCTCATGTTTGTCATTCTGGTGTTGACGATGATATGTCCCTTAAGGGTTGCCGTAGCAAAGGGGCAACTCCCGCCTCTGGCCGAAGAAAGAAACAATAATAAAGAGAGTAGCCGTGGGCTGATACAAGATGTCTGGTCTCCCGACTCGTTATTACTGTATGATAAGTGCCCTTATACATGAACCCAAGACGCTCGGTCACATTGGTGGCAGTGGTGTTTTTATTTTTATTTTTTTAGGCACCGACTACGGACCGCTACCACATTCTTTTTTTTTTTTACTGCGAAATAGTTTAGCTGTGAAATAGTTTAGCTAGCAGGCTAACTGCGGGGCACTGTGATGTGGTTTGGAGACGAAGACTCGTGGAAGCCCAGCTCAGGGCTATCAGACAGACGTTCGGCCAGCAGGGAGATCCATGTGGACCTGCCTGCTCCGTTTTCTGGTGACGGTAGCCAGAGTTTCCTCGGCTGGGTGAGACAGCTGGAAGTTGCCGTCAGAGCATCAGTGGGGAGCGGAGGAGATTACGGAGATGAGCTGGTGAGACTTCTGCCCACCCACTTGAGCAAGTCGGCTTTTCTACTGTGGGACAGCCTTCCGGACGCAGTTAAGTCGGATTATGCTGCTGTTAAAGAAAGACTCGGCGTGGCATTTGGACAGAGACAGTTTATGGACCGCTTCAGAGCCAGCCTGGTGGCTCGCATGCGTGCTCCGGGCGAGAGCATGGAGGTGTATGCCGCCGACGTGAGCTGACTGGTCTTGGAGGCGTTCCTGGACTATGGAACCGTAGCGCAGCGGGAGGAGAAGTTTTGACGCTTCCTTGCCAGTTTGGATGCTGCTTTGAGATCCAAATGCCTGGAGCAGGGCGCCACTGATCTGGAGGAGGCTCCGATTATCGCGGAACAGTGCGAAAATGCCAGGGAGGCTCTGCAGAGAGACCTTGTGAGTAACCATATGGCCACCCATAGACTCGGGGACAGTGTGTCTGTGCAGTCAGTGTCAACTGATAATACCGTGCAGAAGGCAGTCGATAAACTGACAGAGGAGATGTCTTTGATGAGAGTGGAGATAAAGGACATCTATGAGGAGAATCGGAAGTTGAGGACCAGTAGTCCCAACCAGAGGGGACAGGGGTCCCGCTCGCCCTCGGGAGGACGTTGTAGCTGCACCTGTGGAGAGATGGGCTGTCGGTCGAGGGTGCCCCGGGACCACTCTCCTGACCGCGGGCCTGTCTGGCCTCAGAGAGACTATCAATCACGAAGCCGGCATCAGGATGGAGGGGTGTCGCCCCCTCCCAGGCTCTCAAGAGCCCCAGTCCAGGGTGGCGGGCCCGGCAGGAGGAGGAGCCAAGGAGGCGCAACGTGCGTTTCCTGCCACAGCAACAGGATCGTCAGGGAAACGGTCAGTAGCTGGTGTCGAGGCCCTGACACCAGCTACACCACTTGAGGGCTCCTTACAGCCGCCGATATCTGAGAATATTGCTGAGATGGACAGTGTGGACCACCCTACCTCCTACGTTAGAGGGGTGATTGAAGGCACTGACGTGTCCATATTAGTTGACTTAGGAGCGACTGTGCCATTGATTAGTGCCGACTTTCGTACGTCAGTCCCTGCCTTGCGAAACCGACCACTGAAAAATAACTATCGACTCGCGTGCAGTTAATGGACAAATGTTGGATACTTTGGGCACTATTGTGGTGACTTTCTGCTTGGGCCCCACCTGTTAGCAACACACATTTCATGTCTTGCGAGAGTCCACTCAAACTGTCCTACTGGGTCTGGACTTCCTAGCCAAGAACCATGCACTGCTGGACTGGGGACGGGGTGTGCTGCAGTTATGGGATGCTACAGTGCCCCTGTTGAGGGGTGGAGAATTAGTCCCTGAATGCTGTAACGTGTCCCTGGCTGGAGCTATGACCATTCCCCCTATGAGCGAGGCCCTGGTGCCAGTGACTGTTCTCTCGCCTATCACTGCTGGCTTGTCTGCAAAAGAGTTTGAGGGCTACCTGGAGCCTAACATCCCAGAAACGACTGGACTAGTGGTTGCCCACACAGTCACCACCATTAAGGATGGCGTGACTATGGCTCGTGTCCTCAATCCCACAGGGAAGACTGTGGAGCTCAAGCAGGGGTTGCACATGGGTGAGTTCTACCCGCTTGAAAAGTCCGATATCATGCCACTCATTCATTCCCCAGAAGTGGATTCAGTTCCGGCACAGCCTGCTGCTCTCCCCATCTGCTGGAGGATTCACCAATTACAGAGCAACAGAAAGCAAAACTGTCTGACCTGCTACAGAGGTTCAATGATGTGTTCATTCCGACGGAGGGGAATACAGGCAGGTGCACACTCGTTAAACACCACATTAAGACTGGTGACCATCACCCCATTAAGCAGCGCGCCTATCGGGCGTCTCCGGAGAAGCGGTCAGAGATAGAACGGAAGGTGGCTGGTATACTGGCTGATGGGCTAGTGGAGGAGAGCTGCAGCCCCTGGGCATCACCTGTGGTGCTTGTTAAAAAGAAAGGGGGACAATGGAGGTTTTGCATTGACTATCGGTGCCTTAATTCTGTGACAGTCAAGGATTCCCACCCACTTCCACGGGTGGATGACAGCCTGGATGCCCTGGCGGGTTCAACTTGGTTCAGCACACTTGACTTTGCGAATGGCTACTGGCAAGTGGAAATGGCCGAAGAGGATCGTGAAAAGACGGCCTTCACGACAGGCAGGGGCTTGTACCAGTAGCGCGCCATGCCTATGGGCCTGACCAACTCTCCTGCCACCTTTCAACGCATGATGGAGCTGATCCTGCGGGGTCTGCCTTGGCACATCTGCATGGGGTATTGGCCAGCCAGGCTCTTACGTGCACACAGAAAAGATGGTCCACTTTCGACAGGGAGCTCTGGGCCATAGTATGGGCCGTGCGTGAATTTAAACACTATGTGGGCCTCGCTGCATTCACCATCATATCGGATCATCGCCCGCTGCTGGCGCTCAGGAAAATGGCCATTGACAACGATCCTACAGGACGAAGGGGCCGGTGGGTTTTGGAGCTCAACCCATTCAACTGGACCATTATTCACAAAGATGGTTCACGCCACAAAAACGCGGATGCCTTGTCTCGCCGGCCTGCGTCTCCGGATGCCAGAGACCAGGCGGGCTCGCTGTCGGATGTGTGTGCTGCAGGATCGGTGGTCGAATCAGAGCTGCCAGGGGATGAGGAGGTGCTCATGGAACGGCGGCCGGCATATTCTCTCTGCCACAGCGACTCTGAGCTGCAGCTGTTGCAACGTGAGGACCCGGAAATTCAGGCAGTGTTGGGGCGAAATGCAGTGAGACCACCTCGCAGACACCTGAGGGGGTCCTCACTCTGCCTCAGGAAACTGTGGACTGAATTCAACCATCTGTCCGTCATTGATGGTTTGTTGTGCAGGACTATACTCTCTCCGGCAGGGGAGAGGCACGTGCAGGTGGTGATCCCCTCATCTCTGGCTCCCAAGCTTCTTCAGCAGCTGCATGGGGGCCCAGCTGCTGCACACTTTTCCGCAAAGCGAGTTTTGGAGAAGGCCAGGCAGACCTACTATTGGCCCTTCATGTTGAGAGACATTAGACAATGGTGTGAACAGTGCAGAGCCTGCCAAACCCGCAGGGCCCCAGTTCCCAGGCAGAGGGCTCCCATGGGAGGGTCCCAGGTTAGCCGCCCTCTACAGCAGGTGGCTGCAGATATCCTCGAGCTGCCGGTAACTTCAAGGGGGAACAGATATATATTGGTGGTGGATGACTATTTCACCAAATGTGTTAACCTGTATGTGCTGCCCAATCAGACTGCTCACACAGTGGCTCGCTGCCTGTTTGATGACTATGTGCTGGTGCATGGGATCCCTGAAGTCCTGCACAGCGACCAAGGCCGACAATTTGAGGCAGATGTGATTCAGAGCCTCTGCAAGTTGTTAGGTATCCAAAAGACAAGCACTATCGCCTACAACCCTAAATCAGACGGTAAGGTAGAGCGTCATAACCGGACTCTGATTGATCAGCTGGCGAAGATGCTGCTCCCGCATGGAGGTGAATGGGATGATTATGTGAAGCAGGTGGCGTTTGCCTACAACACATCCAGACATGCCAGCACTTATTTTATCCCTTTCTTCCTCATGCACGGACATGAGGCACGTGTTCCAGCTGATGTTCTGATTTCTAACAGAGTCGAGATTTCTCAGGGCTCTGGAGTCCTGCCGGAGTATGTGCCAGCCCTGGTGGGGAGGCTGGAGAAAGCCTTCAGTGAAGCGAGGCTTCATGCTACAGAAGTTCATGAGAGACAGAAACTGTATCATGATGAGGATGTTTGCCATCGTCCTTATGGAGAGGGCGCGTTAGTGTGGCTTAACAACCCGACTGAGAGTCGCACCAAACTGGCGCCTCACTGGAAGGGCCCCTACAGGGTCGAGCAGGTGCTGGCTTCAGGCGGTGAGGCAGCCCTGACATACAGGATTGTCAACCCACTTGACCCGCTGCACCGGGCCCAGGTGGTTCACCATGATAAGACTGAAACGGGACACTCTGCCCCTACCATCACTGGCTGTCGCTGACACATCACCCTCCCTCCCGGCCTCTCCTGAAGTGGGGGCTTCTCGGCCTCCCTGGAGGGGG